ATGTTTATGTTTATGTTTATGTTTATGTTTATGTTTATGTTTATGTTTATTTTTATGTTTATGTTTATGTTATTAGTCGTGAAAGTAACGTTACATAAATTCGACTTTCTCCTGATGTCTAGCTGACTGTGAAAGATTTTAACGCTTTATTCTGTAAGTAAAAAAAAGAAAGGAAATATAACATTAATTTCCATTTTCTATTTCCGGCCAAATTTTAAACCCCCAGGGGCTCTATTCCACCAATAATCATCTCCCCCAACATTTCCAACCTAAAATAAATAATCAAATTTAAATTAAGTTTCGTTTATTTTATCGCAATAAATTTTAAATCGCAATTTAAAATATGCGAAAGAAAATTGCTTTCATTCAACAAAGAAAATCTGTTCTTTGGCCTTCATCGATATTTTGCTGCAAAATAAGTTATTTTCTGTTAATTATAAGCACATTTTTAAAGCTTATTTGGCAGCCAAAGAAGAGTTCTTTTATTTCAAAATTTAGAGTGTCTATATCTAATAATTTGAGGCTTTACTGTTAAAAAAATATTGGTAAACTTTTCTACAGTTTAACTCAGAACAACCTGGAGAAATCGAAATAACTTATAAAATCATAAAATGTCGTCTTATCAATTGTAATTGTAATTGTAAGAATGAAAATTGCCATGAAATATATGGGAACAGCTTTAAAGAGCTTCATTGAAGTATTCAATTAAAAGGCTAATTAAATATCTGCGTTCTGCAGCCTTTCATTATCAGTAGGTTTAGGAGACGACATTTTATTTATTCTTTCGATATATATATCAGTTGAAACGCAACAATCTTCTTATACCATTTTATTCATAAAAAAATTGTGTCATGCTTTTATGCAATTATCAGTATGAATGATTTGAGAATTTTTCACAGATGTTTCGCGGATTTTCACGAGATGTTAAATTAATTTCAAATTAATGTTACATATATAAATAAATAAACATGATGTTAAAAAAAAAACCAATATATGTATATGATAGGGGTAAAAAAATATATATGTATAAATATATATGTATATGATAGGGGTAAAAAAAATCTAATTCAGAAATTGGTGGAATTTTTGGTTTATCACTATCATAAAAATTGGTTCCGTTTCCAGTCATAAATTCTATTTCATCAGCAACAGGGTATTTGAAGTAAATATCTTTGTTACATTTTTATTAAGGGAATTGAACCAAAAAGGTTATATAAATTATTATGATTGTTTTATTTTAAAATAAATACTATACCTTAGTATTCTTTACTTTCTCATATAATTCAGGTGCTGCGTTCTCATCTAAATAAGCTTTATCAAATCTCCAGGCAGCGGCCCAAGGAAGTTAAATGCGCATCCCGCAATGAATTATAAGACAGAGAGAGCGCCAGTTCTTGTCGTGGCGCTTGGCCCCCTAGCATAACCTTGCCGCAGCTCTCGGCCCCTTAGTCTGTCCTAACCGCAGCGCTCGACCCAGAAAGTGTCCTAACCCAGCATAAAAAAAAATAAGAAAAAAAGATCGGATGTGTTAAAAAAATTCATTTATATTTCATAAATATATCATATTGTTTTTTTTGAAATATATATATTAATTGAGAAAAAAGTGGAGAAAATGTTCTTTTTTTTGGCTTCTCATACAAAGAGAAAGTACCATCAAAAAAAATTGAGCAAATTTCTAGTTTTGCAAATCTTAAAATTAACAAAAAACTGAGAAATCGAAATATTTCAAAACATTTTCATTACTTTCACTATGCCATATTTTAACCCAGAGAGAAGATAAATATACACGCTGCACAGCGGAAAACTTTAGGATAGTGGATATCGAGATCAATGCTTGACTCTCTCTTTTTGCTAATCTCAAGACTAATAAGTTAGTGTTTAGTCTTTAAGCAATCAGGATTAAGGTTATCCCATTCTAAAGTTTTTATAATTACAGGTTATTTAAAATTTTGCTAAATTTTTGCATATTTGAAATAGCATGGTCAAGGGCTTTTCAAAAATGTATATTCTATAATTTTTTAAGACATTTTTTTTGCAAACATTTATACTATATAACTGGATTTTGAAACAAATGTTTAAAATTTTACAAATTTTCAAATTTTTTGCATATTCTAAAAGTAGAGCATATAAGGGCTTTCCAATGATGTATCATTTGTCATTTGGACATCAAACATGGGATTTAGAGGGTGGGGGGTCAAATTACCCCCCCTCCCCCAGCGTACTCTGTTTTTAAGTACCCCAGCAGGGATAGGGTTAACAGTTCATCTTATGTCTTCTACACAGTATGTTACCTTCCAACAAATTTAAACTATACCATTAATATATGTAATATATGTAATATATGTATATATATTAAATGTGTGTGAATAAATCTTTAATAAAAATCAAATTTAGAGTCTGGGAAGAAATCATTATCATTGGAGTACAATTGGAAACCCATATAGACGTCTCATTTGATTTCCACAAATTTTCATTGGAAAATCCTAGACTTTCATCGGAGACCCCAGATTTTCATTAAAAAAACCAGATTTGTATTGAGACCCCAAGCTTTTAATTGGAGACCCCAATATTTTCATGAATAATAAGCTGGGGTCTCCAATGAGACGTCCATGGGTCTCTCCAATATAATTACTCCAATAATAATGAGTTATTCTCAGACTCTTCACTTCCGGCCAGCTTTCGGCCAGCTTCCGGCTAAGACACTGAACTCATTCTCAAATCTCAATTTTTCGCAATGTTAAGTGTTTTCTCTGGAAATTATACCTGCAGTTTCCACAAGATACATTTTAGCCAATGTTGAGCTGAAGAATAGGAACATTGTTACCAAGATAAAATTCAACTGCATCTTGGGAGGTCTTCTTGTTTACTAAATATTTCGTTTAGATAATTTTTTAAATATTATTTAAACTGAATTTAAATATTAGTTTAAATTCAGTTAATAATGTTAAACTAAATTTAAAAAACATTCAACGTTAAAAAAGGTTAAATCAAATCAAAACTGTTAAACTTAATCAAAAAGGTTGAATTGAATAAAAAAACTGTAAGTGGAACAAGCAAGGTTCACGCATGGATTCAACGGTTCTGTCAATATTCCAGAAAGCTGTGACTTTTTGATCATAATTTGTCTCATTAAACATAATTTTTTAGCCTTTTGTCCTGGATACTTTTTTGTCGGCATATGCATTTTAAATGAAAAGTATAGAATAAACAAATCTGTAAGGTAAAAGATTGTTGAATTATAGACCAAAATACGTTTGATTTCAAATAGAAGAAACCGAATGCTGCGCACTCTGTTTAATCCGGGGTGGGTTATATCAAATTTATAAAAAAAGTTTAAACTTAATTAAAAAACTTGAAAAAAGGGGGAAACTACTTACTCTCTCTTAGAAGAGTGAAAAGTAAAAACTAAAAAATGAAAAGTGAAAGTCAAGATTATTAACTTCTTCTGTAAAGCCGATTTTTAAACAATGCATTCAATTACAAAAAAAAACAATTTCGCTAACCTTATTTTTATACTGCGTTTCATTCAATTATTTAGTTTGTTTTGTAATTGATAGTTCCGATTTTCTTTTTTCTTATAAGCCCTCAATTTTATTTGTAAACATCTTTTTCTCGTAATCTGAAACCTGTCATGAAATCTACCTTGCATTTATTAAACTTTATTAACTATAAAATTATAGCTAATGTATATTTGTAAAAAATTGCTTTTTCGTAAACAATAGTTCTTGTAATAATTGCATGTAAATTTTGTTAAACCAAATAACTTTACGAAAATTGAAATATTTCGTTTAAAAAAAATTTTATTTGTTTTATCAGCTCTCATATTTATTAGATTGTTCTTATATTAGCTCTTATTTATATTTATTTACTCTATAGCTATCACTTATTCTGAGTTCTCTTCTGATATAGTAAATTTGCACTTATCAGCTTTCTTTATTAATTTGTTCTTATATTAGCTCTTATTGTATTTATTTTACTCTATAGCTATCACTTATTCTGAGTTCTCTTTTGATATTGTAGTTTTGCACTTATCAGGTTTCTTTATTAATTGTTCTTATATTAGCTCCTATTTATATTTATTTTACTCTATAGCTATCACTTATTCTGAGTTCTCTTTTGATTTAGTAGTTTTGCACTTATCAGCTTTCTTTATTACTTTGTTCTTATATTAGCTCCTATTTATATTTATTTTACTCTATAGCTATCACTTATTCTGAGTTCTCTTTTGATTTAGTAGTTTTGCACTTATCAGCTCTCATATTTATAAATTTGTTCTTATATTAGCTCCTATTTATATTTATTTTACTCCATAGCTATCACTTATTCTGAGTTCTCTTTTGATTTAGTAGTTTTGCACTTATCAGCTTTCTTTATTACTTTGTTCTTATATTAGCTCTTATTTGTATTTATTTTACTCTATAGCTATCACTTATTCTGAGTTCTCTTTTGATATAGTAGTTTTGCAATTATCAGCTCTCATATTTATTCATTTGTTCTTATATTAGCTCTTATTTTTTATTATTTTACTCTATAGCTATCACTTATTCTGAGTTCTCTTTTGATTTTGTAGTTTTGCACTTATCAGCTTTCTTTATTACTTTGTTCTTATATTAGCTCTTATTTATATTTATTCTACTCTATAGCTATCACTTATTCTGAGTTCTCTTTTGATTTAGTAGTTTTGCACTTATCAGCTCTCATATTTATAAAGTAGATGGTTAATATTTAGAATTGGGAGGAAAGGAAATGAGTTTATGCCACAAACTCTAACTGTTTCCCCTCTTTATCTTAGCAACCCGATATCGTAGACCTTTGATATGTTAGATTAAATAGTCTAAGTTTAAATTATCATCGGTTTACACCATCTGGTTGCAAAGATATATGGATTAGAAAATTTGAGTTTGTGGCAAAGATTCAATTACTTTGGAGAAAGATTAATTAAGTACACACAGTGTACTTTAAAACTTTCAAAAATTCTTTCTACAACGGTACCCTAGACACATAGTGATTTGTTCACCTTAAACGTAAAACATATTTTGTGTAAGATTGCATATATCCAATAATCAATTAAGAAATGTAATAAAATAAACTAAGATTAGTTAAAATCTACATTAAATATGACTTATACACAATGGTATTCTCTCTTGTGTCTTGAAATTATATACTCACTGTCTCTTCAGATGACGGGTCACTTGAAATATCTTCAACAGTCCCTTTACATAATAAAAGGAAAGAACGCTTATAATTTGTACCTTGAAAATTAACGTCAATTTGTTTAGATAAATAAGAACCTTGAATAAACAAATAAAAGCACTAAAACAATCCATATTGCGTAAATATTAGTAAATTATAAAGTAAAACGTAAAAAATATGTATTAAAAACTCCCCCTCTTCTTCCTAAAGCATTATTAAGATGTGTGTTACTGTTCAATTCAAATACTTAATGAGGTCTGTTATGAACACTGTACAACAAGGATGATTTGTGACTTATTTTAGAAATCAACTATCTGCCCATCAGAGGTCGCTAAGTTTTACTTAAAAAATTATTGCAATAAAAAAATTGTGAATTGAGGATTTAATATCTGAGAAATCAGCATAAAGCCTAAGAAAATGGTTAAAAAATTAAATATGATACTGTGGAAGACGACTCCTGTCCGCGTTAAACAAGTTCCACAAGATTCAACAGAATAGAACGGATACGGGGCATTAGTACTGAAACATCTACACGTGTGATTTCGACAATAACGATTATTCTGAACCCTCTAGTAATAAGTTATAAGAAATATATATACTGGAAGTTATCTATGCGTTTTTATTAGAGTCCGACTCACGTCCTCTATAATACCTCATTTTCTTGGAAATTTCATGCTGAATTCAGATTTGAAAACCATTAAAAATATTAAAATTTATGGAAGTTATGGCCAAATAAACCTACTAAATTTTTGTTTTTTCTTGTTGATGTGTTTTGATGAGTTTTCTAGCTCTAATTCATTCAATTTTTCAATTTTTAAAAAGCGCTTTTTAGATTTAACTTTAGCATTAAATTTCCAAAAAAATGATGTGAAACATGAATTTTTTTGGGGCCTTCTGGTGATTTTTTTTGTTGCAATATTTTTTTTAAGTGAAAAAGCAGCGACTTACGGTGGGTGGTTGGCTCAATTACAATATTTATCACCCCTGCTGTAAAATATTGATTTTATTGTACTGTACTGATGTCCTATAATACTATCCTGTCTTATACTGTACTCTTCTGTACACTATACTATACTGTGTTGTACTGTACTGTACTATAATGTACTGTACTGTACTATAATGTACTGTACTGTACTATAATGTACTGTACTGTACTATAATGTACTGTACTGTACTATAATGTACTGTACTGTACTATAATGTACTGTACTGTACTATAATGTACTGTACTGTACTATAATGTACTGTACTGTACTATAATGTACTGTACTGTACTATAATGTACTGTACTGTACTATAATGTACTGTACTGTACTATAATGTACTGTACTGTACTATAATGTACTGTACTGTACTATAATGTACTGTACTGTACTATAATGTACTGTACTGTACTATAATGTACTGTACTGTACTATAATGTACTGTACTGTACTATAATGTACTGTACTGTACTATAATGTACTGTACTGTACTATAATGTACTGTACTGTACTATAATGTACTGTACTGTACTATAATGTACTGTACTGTACTANTGTACGCTGTACACTGCATGCTGTACACTGTACGCTGTACACTGCACAATGTTCCCTGTAAACTGTACAATGTTCACTGCACGCGGTACACTGTTTGCTGTACACTTTAAGCCGGCTGCACACTGTACGCTATACACTGTGCGCTGTACGCTGTATGCTGTACACTATACACTGTCTGCTGTACACTGTACGCTTTACACTGTACGCTTTACGCTGTACACTGAATGCTATACACTGTACGATATACACTGTCCAATGTACCCTGTACATTGTACACTGTATACTGTACACTGTACCTTGTACACTGTAGTTTGTACACTGTACCATTTACATCGTACTCTGTACAAAGTACGCTGCACACTTTACGCAATCACTTTACTGCTTTACACTTTACGCTGTACACTCTATGCTGTACACTGTACACTGTACACTGTACACTGTACACTGTACGCTGTATGCTGTACACTATACGCTGTACACTTTACGCTGTACACTGTACGCTGTACACTGTACACTAGTAAAAAGTAAAAAAATTGATTTGATTTGATTTGATGTTATATCCTGTTCTTAATTTTGAACAAAATCAAAATGTTTATATTTTTTAACAAAATGTTCATATTTTTGAACAAAATGTTCATTTTTTTGAACAAAAAGTTCATATTTTTGAACAAAATGTATATAATTTTGAACAAAATGTAAATGATTTTGAACAAAATGTATATAATTTTGAACAAAATGTTCATAATTTTGAACAAAACATCCATAATTTTTTAATATTTTCTTAATTTTGAAATTATTTCGGCAAATTCTACAATTCGAACAAACAATTATTTACGAGCAGTGTTCACAAAGTGTTCACAAAAAAATTAAGTAGAATTAAAGCCAAAATTATGAGGCTTTTGCTCATATCCTTTGTATGTTATAAATATCTAAATTTTATTATTCAGCTGACCCTAACTCAGTATTCAGTTGACCCTAACTCAGTATTCAGCTGACCCTAACTCAGTATTCATTCAGAGAAAAATTTCATAATTTCAGGAGTTTGTCTTTCAGGAGTTTGTCTCGTCAGGAGTTTGTCTCGTCAGGAGTTTGTCTTTCAGGAGTTTGTCTTTNGACCCTAACTCAGTATTCAGCTGACCCTAACTCAGTATTCAGCTGACCCTAACTCAGTATTCAGCTGACCCTAACTCAGTATTCAGCTGACCCTAACTCAGTATTCAGCTGACCCTAACTCAGTATTCAGCTGACCCTAACTCAGTATTCAGCTGACCCTAACTCAGTATTCAGCTGACCCTAACTCAGTATTCAGCTGACCCTAACTCAGTATTCAGCTGATCCTAACTCAGTATTTAGCTGACCTTAACTCAGTATTCAGCTGAAATCAATGTTATAAAAATATAAGACAAATATTTTACCAATTAGATTCACAGTAGATGATGATTTTTCCATTTTAAACTGCAGCTCCTGAGAACATGTTTGATTGACATTAATTTAGATTTGATAAAGGAATTGATTACTAATTTTAAACCCCCCAATTTACTAATCCCAATGTCCTAGCACAAACAATGTTCAATTCTGCAGAATTAAATTCTGCGCAAATGTTGAGTTAAAGCACTGCACAAAAATTGTTCCAAAAACTATTTACCATAGAATGCGAATTTCTGC